TTAGTAAAATACGGTATGGGAAAGTTACGGATAAAATATGTACTCCGTCTTTATGTTAATGCTGCGTTTAATAGTGCGTTAAAAGTAATAAATATACAAAATTAATTATTCTAAAAATACGTCAGGCGTATACTATACGTCACGTACTACTAGTGAGATATCTCTATCTAGACCATGAATTAAATCGAGTTTGGGGTATGATACTATACCCTAACCTCGAATGGATAAACCTCAGGCACCGATTTTCTAAACCCCAACTCGAAGTTTGATTTAATGAAAAACAAAAATTGACCGTTGAGATCGGCCGGAGCTCATCTAAGTACATCTAACGGTTAGATCACATGTTGTGTACTATACGCCTGACGTACACCAGTACTTACCATATATATATATATATATATATATATATATGGTTATGTCTTCGGTGCACTCACTTTTTTGGGTGCATTCAATGCACCCGCCTCATAATCGTCATTCTGAGCAGGCGATTCATGTGAAAACGATGTCAATCATCACTTGTGGTATGATGAACAAGAACCACATGAATTTGTACAAAAATCATTCAAGATTCACTTTAATTTGAATGATTCAGGGTTCAGGAATTTAGGGTTAGGGTTAGGGTCTACAATTTGGGATTTTGGGTTAAGATTCAAAATTGAAGGTTAATAGGTTAGGGTAATGGGTTGATTAGTTGAGATTCTATGTTATATTATCATATTAGACTAATACAACCCATTAAATTTCAAAATTTAATGTATTATGACCACTTTTAGAGGTGGGTGCACTGAATGCACCCAAAAAAGTGAGTGCACCGAAGTAGCCACTATATATATATATATATATATATATATATATATAAATAATAGTAAAGTTGATAATTTAATTCGATAAATACGGATATTAAATGTATTATACGGGTTTTATACGTGTTTAATACGGGAGCTATCAAATGAACGGACAAAATAGAAACGGCTTGACAATAATATGGATACTGAAGTTTTAAACGAATAAAGTACGTACATGTACATATACGTGTTTTAAACGGAGTATTTACTAACTAGAGGGGCTATATGCATGATTGAAAGGTCCATGCCGCTTCATAAGAGGGGACATGGACACGAATGAGAAGGGTATGGTGGTGGAGCATTATATCACCAATGACTAAGTCTCAAGAGGTCCATGACCGTTAGACAAGTAGGTCATGGACATGAGTAAGAAGTCCATGACCACGAGGCAAGAGGACCACGACAAGTCCGGCCCAGACCCTGTGCTGGTCAGACCTACAGCACAGGGCCTCAATTTTATTGGGGCCTCATAATCAATTAAGTCTGGAGGCCCATATAAACCCTTAGTTCGGAGGCCCCGTTGGGCTGGCGAGGCCCACACTGGAACTCCTTGGGCTGGCACGGCCCACACACACAAAAACCCAAAGTACAAAGGTGCAGGAGGAGAATCGAACCGCGGTCCTATCCTTTTCATCAAAATAATACGCAACCACTGAGCTACGACTTGTTTGTTGAATCAAAACTAACAGTTAGGTATTTAATCTTCTTCTCTTTTCCCAAAATTATCAACTTCTCAAAAATATCCAACGCCTAAATATGAATTGTACACACCCAATTCTAATTATGTCAACCCGAAAATTTGAAAAAGTTAATTTATAAGCGTAGATAATATTATTTTTTTCCAATCATTTTCTGAAGTTGTCATTTTTATTATTAGTTAATAATTTTATTTTAAAAAAATTTATGAAAAATTGTTTTGGGGCCACATTTTAAATTGTCGAACAGGGCCTGCGATTATCATGGGACGGCCCTGGACCACGACGCCCTTTGTGAGACACCACATGCTTATCAAAATACTAGCATGGCACAAGATTTGGAACAAGACTAGGCGAGGCAAGTGACACTCCAAGACCCACGACGGCTCCAAGAGAGGCACCTAGACGGTTGAAGGAGTAACTACCAACCGGGGAAGCAAGGAGCGGTTCTTTTTGGAAGATATCCAAGAGACAGTTTCTACGGCGGTTACCTCCTCGTGGCTATAAATAGAAGGTGGGGTCGACAGAGATAAAACCACAACCAAACAATTAACGCCTACGTCAAACTTTATTTTTTTTTCTCTGCAAGTAGTCATAGTTGTAGTTTGAAGCACTCACTGATCCTCCATAGGAGTAGAGATAATTTAACGTAGATTTGTTCTCAAAGTGTTCGAAGAAGTCAAAAATGCAATCAATTTTGTTTAAAAACACACGGTATCCTCGCCGGAAAACAAAGTATAAAAGAGAAAATATTATCACTTGCTATAATTTTTAGTGTTAGCAACGTAGTCAAGTTGCCCTGGGTTAATCAAATTTTAAGTCGGTGTGTTATGAGGTTTTAGCAAATTTATCGCTATATTATGACTGGTATCAAATATTATCCCATATTATAGTGAGATATCTCTATCTAGACCATGATAAATCGAGTTTGGTGTATGATACTATACCCTAACCTCTAATGGATAAACCTCAGGCACCGATTTTCTAAACCCCAACTCGAAGTTTGATTTAATGAAAAACAAAAATTGACCGTTGAGATCGGCCGGAGCTCATCTAAGTACATCTAACGGTTAGATCACATGTTGTGTACTATACGCCTGACGTACACCAGGGCAAGATTAATATTCATTATGTAAAAGAAGCCTCAATTACGTAAGACTTCCGTAATACCTTCACACTTTACGTAACGCAAGATTAATATTCATTACGTAAAAGAAGCTTCAATTACGTAAGGCTTCCGTAATACCTTCACACTTTACGTAACACAAGGTTAATATTCAGTACGTAAAAGAAGCCTCAATTACGTAAGGCTTCCGTAATGACAGTTATTTCTTACGTAACCGTTAAATTAGAAGCATTACGTAAGACTTCCGTAATGACTTATTACTTTACGTAACGCGAGATAAATATTCGTTGCCTAAAAGAACCCTCCATTACGTAAGGCTTCCGTAATGAGATTTTACAACTGTTACGGAAGATGCACATACGTTACGTAATCATTACGTAACACCTGTTGTGTTTTACGTAATATAACCTGTGAAACCTGCTATAGCAGGTAAAAAAAATCAAGTTACCTTACTTCAAGGCATTGTAGGAATTTCCTATAGTGTATTAGTGTTGTTTAACATCCTTCAATTTTAGAGCACGATTTCTCTTGTGCGGACTACCCGTAACTTTTGTCAACTATGCTGCTACATGGTTTCACGAACTATTCTGCTAGCCAGGGTGTCGAATTAGAGTTCAATTGAGTATATGGACAATCCCAACAATAGGGTTCATATTGTTGGTAGAGAAAACAATATTCGTTCGATGGTTAAAAATACCCTCACGTTATTTCCTACCGGTGGGTTGGAGTTCGGTTTTTGCTCGTGGCTTGTCAGTTTTGTAGAAAACATTATCTATTCGTGACGCTAGTGATCTATTATAATGAGTAAATATGAGGTTAATTGCAAGGTTGGTCACTAGATTTATTAAAAATGTTCATGTTTGGTCACTGCAAATATTTAATTACATTCATGGTCACTAAGATTAGTTCAATAGTTCAAATTTGGTCACTCTCCGTTAGTCTCTGTTAGTTTTTGCTGATGTGGCAGTCAACTATTATAGTTGACCGTTAAATAAGTGACGTGACCATTAAAAAAATATTAAAATAATAAAATTTAAATATTTACAATTGCCACATCATTTTACAACTACTAAAAAATAAAAATAAAACTTAATTCCTATTATTCTATAAACACCTAAACCTACCCTTTCTCCTCCTCCATCGCCGCCACTTCACCGCTACCGTCGACGTTACTCACAAGAATCAAATTGACGGACCCGCTCCCGGTGATCGTGAACCTCATCCCTCCCTTTCTTATGCACGCCACCCGCCTGTACATAACCGGAACGATCCATCTTCAACTTATGGAGAAACTGAGCAGAGATCAGGAGGTTGCGAAGGGATGGCTTCGAACCGAATTCCATCATGTAGCGCAAGCTTACCCCGTTCTGCTTCATGCAACCCCATCTCTGCACTTCCTCGGTCATGCTCTTCCCCGGCGTCTCCATTGCCTTCTTCCTAGCTGCCCCTGCCATGGCAATGATTGATGATGTTGATAGGTCACTACTAGCAAGCAGTTCTGGAGCAGCAGCAGGGGGGAGAATGAGGCCGACGGCAAAGAGAAACGACGACATGTACAGAGCCCTAAACCAGAAATCCCAAAGAAAACGAGATGATGAAATAAAAGAGAAAGAGAGCAGCAGCAGAAGCCAGCAGAAGCCTCGCTTCCTTCTCTTCTTCCGATTCGCCGGAAATGGTCGTCGCCCGCTCAGTTCTAGCTCTAGGGTTTTGGGGGAAGGGAAATGGGAAATCGATCGGAATCGAAATTTGGAGGAGCGAGCGCAGAAGAGAAATTTGGGAGGGAGGGAAGGAGCAAGGGGAAAACCAGAGGAGTCGGAAGCGAAATAGGCAAGAAGAAAAACCAGAGTGCTTTCAAGTAGGTTTAGGTGTTTATAGAATAATAGGAATTAAGTTTTATTTTTATTTTTATTTTTTAGTAGTTGTAAAATGATGTGGCAATTGTAAATATTTAAATTTTATTATTTTAATATTTTTTAATGGTCACGTCACTCATTTAACGGTCAACTATAATAGTTGACTGCCACAGCAGCAAAAACTAACGGAGACTAACGGAGAGTGACCAAATTTGAACTATTGAACTAATCTTAGTGACCATAAATGGAATTAAATATTTGCAGTGACCAAACATGAACGTTTTTAGTAAATACAGTGACCAACCTTGCAATTAACCCGAGTAAATATACACGGCTCAAAAAGTTATAATTTTCTTGTTTGACATTTACCAATTGGTCACTAGAAGCAGAATATTCCGAGAAAAAGAGAGAGCTCGAAATGTCAACGGATGTGAGCAGAACAAGTTTCAATAAACACAGCACTAGAATAGAGAAACTAATTCTCCACTCACCATTTCCAAAACGAAATCCCCCAGCGGGAAAATTACCATGTTATATAGTTGTTGCCTCTTTAACTTTCCAAGATACAAGACTGGCGTGGAAGAAAAAATTAACATCTGGACAGAGTAAACACAATCTATTAACTCTTATGAATGCAGAAAACAGTAGTACTAGTAGGTGAACAATACCCAAAAGGAATGAATGACAACACCCAGCAATACATCTCTTTTCCAGGTTTCCCCAATTCCCAAGTAAACACCCAAAATTTCTTCTCTATTCTGTATGACGATGCATCTACAAAGAACATAATAGGCAAGCAGGTTGATTAGAAAATTGACAGAAGATCCCATTCTGGAGGAAGGAAGACGAGGCGAGGCAGCTATGCAAATTACAAAAAATAATCGGGAGTTCTGCGTGTGGTCTCGGGTTCAATCTGGCGCGGTGCTGGGTCAAATTGCAGGAAGTTCTGCTCCATATTCTCTCCAATCTCGAGTATGGCCGCCATGTTCCCACACCGGTAGCAGTAATTCGGGGCACTGAAAACCGTCACCACGTTCTTGTCCTATTGAAGTGTTCAAAGTTGAGATTTGTGTATTAGATAGAGAGCAAAACTAAGGCAGCCAAGAGTTGAAAACGTGAAAGCTGATTCCTGATTTCCAATGTACTAACCTGGGACCAATTGTAACCTTCCATCACGAGTTGGTGAGCTCTAGAGATGAGAGTGAGGCCGTTAGTATGGTTGAACTGTTGAGAGATGTCCTGTCCAAAGGTGTATCCAGCACCACGAGGAGAAATGCCCCACCCACACCGGTCATCTGGGTCGGACCACAGGAGGTCACACATAGGACCCTCGTGCGGTACCTAAACAGCCACAAGATCCCAAAGCAACAGCCAATTAAAAACCACTTGAGAACGACCTCTATCATATTGACTATATTTCATTACTAAATCAAAACTACTCCTAGAGAAAAAGTTGAACTGAAACAATAAAAAAAAAAAGCAAATGATCCAATATCAGTCTACCTCTTGGATACGATCGAGGGAGCGAATGTTGTCCAGTGTGTCAAGTGAAGGGGAAAGTCCACCATGCAAGCAGAATACCTAGAGAGCAATAGATGTTTTTGGTAACGTATTACATATTACATAGGGATTAGGGACAGAAGAAAGTGTGAACTTATCTAACCTGACTCTCAATCAGAGCCGTGAGTGGGAGATAATCAAAGAGATCAGTAAAATGTTTCCACACATTGGCATTTCCATATTTTCTTAAGCACTCATCATAAAATCCATACCTGAAAATACCAGAATCTCATGATATCAGCAGGAAGACCACAAAGTTCATAAGTCAGGTAATAATTGACACGGACCAATAATAGGTAAGGTGAATTGAAACCATATAAAATTGGCTACATTGGAGCACACTACAAATCAATAGGTTTAAGAAGATTTGCACAAAATTCTCTAAATGCGCCTTCATTTAGTAAATTTTGTGCAAATCTTCTGGCAAACAAAACCATAGATCTGGAAGATAAAGTGCAACAACCATTATGTTTAAGTGGCAACTTAGAGAGGTACTTGCACTATTCCATTACCGGGAGCTGAGAATAATTTAGTAATATGGACAACATTACAGTACAGATAGAAAGAGTGAATGTATTAACAAAAATAAGAAAACTCTTGCAAATAATGTCTGAGTATAAAGATCTTACACTTGAGTAATTTGACGGCTTTCGTGATTTCCTCGTAGAATTGTAATCCTATCTCTATATCGGACTTTCAATGTGACTAAAAGAGTAACAGTTTCCACTGAATAATATCCTCGATCTACAAAGTAGCAAGAAAATACCATTGGTTAAGCAAACAAATTACAATCTATTGCAGCTATAAGATATGAAACTGAGAGCCGTAAGCTTGTACGAAGATGAAGTGATAATTAACATGGCCTATGAGCATGCTCAGAGTGCATAGGTTATGCACTCAATCTGCATGACAATATTTGGAAGGAACTAGTTTTTCCATTCAACAATAATTTAGTGACTCTGGAAAATGTTGCCGTGCAACAGTAGCATAGGCTGCTAGTTAAAAAGGTGGCCACATGACAAATTAAATCAAATGAGTAGTAACTCCCAAGGAACATAGTACATCAACAAAAGAACATGCATCGCACAGCTAGAAGCTGATATGCATGAATTACCTATTTGCTAACCAATTACTCCCCGATGTAGGAACGACAATAGAAACTTGAACTTGGTATTACAAAGTCCAACCACCATCCATGTCAACTGAAGACCCAGTTAGAATCTTCCACTCTTCATAATTAACCAATCAGCATTCAATTTTTCAGCATTCGGAGACCACCGCAGACAAGGACGAGTGGGACAAAAGAAATACAGTGATAATAGCAAATGTGTGCAAGAGGGTGTTACGCAAGGGCTAGGAAAAGCAGTTGAGAGGCAAATAGAGTTTGCTGTCATCAAGAATCCATATGACTGACGAATACTCCCGTGGAAACCGCTGACCTTTTCCAGCCATAACTTTCCTAGTTGTCAGGTGCTATCAAGTTACAAACACGTATTTTTTCGGCAGCACTCATACTTTTCCTGATGCAATTTTGTCAACTTCATTAACCAAGTGATCCACTTCCTATCACTCTTTACCACGTGCTCCTCAAAAATTTTGTAGCGCTTCCCTTGCACTCCACAAACCTTGCCAAAATGTCCCTTACACATCTTCTATCAACCATTAGTTTAAATATAGATTAACACTGATAAGTGGGTTTGCTATCAATGTAAAAAGAAACCATCAACTTGCTAGCTGATAATTGACACAGTCGGGCTTTTAAAGCTAGAGTCTTGCCAATTGATATGATCTTAACATACCTCCCAACATATGCATCCGTAATTCATTTTTTGCAGTGGAAATGCGAACATGGTCTGCAAGGTTTTACTTTTCTCAACATATGAATCTTGAGAATATTATATGCAGCAGTGATTTACCCAAGTATCAGGTGCCAAAATTGGATAAAGCCATGGCATATTAAACACACAAGGTCCTGATTGACACGAAAGCATTTCAAATTACACCTACCATTATCTAGAACTAGGAGTCACCTGCTAAATAGCACTGAACAGCAAAAAAGCTGAATCAATAATTCAATTGCCGGCTCACAATCTACACCCCTCCACTTCCAATTCAACAGGCTATTATGGACTGATAAAAAACTAGGCAATGATTTGACATCGACTCACCTACATAGTCGCCCATGAATAGGTAGTTCGTGTCGGGAGCGTTGCCGCCGATTCGGAAGAGCTCGACAAGATCGTGGAACTGGCCGTGGATGTCGCCGCAGACTGTCACCGGACACTTGACCGGCTGCACGTTCCATTCCTCGACGAGTACGGCCCTGGCCTGCTCGCAGAGCGCCTTCACTTCCGCCTCGGACAGCGGCTTGCACTGCATCAAGTGCTCGATCTGACGGTCCAGATCGGCTTGCGACGGCATCGTTTCCTCGTCCCGCCCTTCTATTTCCTTACCTTTTATCTTCCTTTTCGAAGACCCAATCCGACGGATTAGGACAGAAATGGTGCTTCAGAGCTGAGCTCTCTCTCCCTCTCAGGCCATGGCCATGGTTTCTAGGGTTAAACGGAGATGAAAAAAATGGAAAAGAAAAGGGAGATGGAGGGAGGGAGAGAGAGAAAGGGCGATGATGATGGAGGGAGAGGTGCCAGCAAAGCGGAGGGCGTCTGGATTAGAATGGCAATGGGTCTGGGTGGATTTTGTCAAACCCAAATTTATGGGTTTATCCGTCAAAAAAACTCGGGTAAAATCCGTTGAGTTTGAAAAACTCAAATCCAACCTAACCCGCTGGATGTCCGTGGATTTATGGATACCCGTGGATTTTTGTGATAAATTTTTTACAATAACGAGTTTCTATCTAAATAAAATTTTAACATCAATTTTCTCATACAAATTATCCATACAAAAAATACCAATCTAGAGCATACAAGCCAACTGCACATTATCAATACAAATTATTTAAAATTAAAGATAAACATTTATAAATAACATGATTAATTGAAATCTTCTTCCTCCTTGTCAACTAAGCTTCTTCACTCTCCACTAGATAATATCAACTTCATTCAAAATGATTAGAAAGAACAAATTATACATGTCTGATGTCTCCACAAACATAAAGAATATTAGTTGTTTAAGGAAAATATATTGTTTAGAATATTAAATATACCGGGAAAGTAATTATATGAGTGTGGGCGGATATCCATAGGTCGGATATGCCTAAACTCAAACCCAACCAGATTAATAGTGTAGCGGATTTAAACCCGAACCCGACCCAAAACCCGTCAACATGGATTTTACCCGCTTTGATCGGGTTGAATTGAGTGGATACCATGGGTTCGGATGATGTACTTCTTTTTTTTTTTTTCCGAGTAATATAAGAAAGATAGTTAGAACAAACACTACCCAAACGCCCTCCCCACCCTGCTAACAATCCAACCTACAAAATCAAAAGAAGCTAACTCTAGCCGAGACAGCAACAGGGCTTTCCGTGCCACTCTATGGGCAGCCCAGTTGGCAGTCCGCGGAACCGCCCTAAATTCTATACAAAGAGACAGAGACCCAAGGATACTTCTACAATCTCTAAGAATGGTGCCACCCACGGAATCCTCCACAGCACCAAAGCTAAGCTGACGAATGACCACAGCCGCATCTCCCTCAATGATGACACGAGGCAAACTTCTAGAAGCTACAAGAGAGATCGCATCCCTTGCTGCAAGGAGCTCAGCAAGGTACGGCTCAGCGATGTACTTCACCAATGTATTAATTTTTATCCCCAATTTCGGCATTTTGCATCTGGATCCCTCATCTTTTTTATATTTCTGGTTTTGATCCATTGTGACCACTTGTCTCTATTGTTTATTTAATTTTTTTTTTTACAAAGTATTGTTTATTTAATCAAAGTGTCTTGACTGTTGAGTCTTGAGTCTTGACCCAACCCTTGATCTTTTTTCCTTCTACATCTTTTTTTTCTTCAAAGTTTACTCGTATTTTCGAGAAAACAGGTAAATACTAAAAGTCATATAGAAATGAAATAACCAAGAAAATCAATCAAATCATACTAATGATGGAAACAACGAAGGAATTTTTCTTAATTTTTCTTACCATCAGATGAGTAACTATATTACCTGCAACCAAAAAAAATAATCTTAAAATTCTTGAATGAGCATCACCTGCAAAAATAAATCACGTAATCTAAGTGGTATTTTTTCACTCAATTCTTTAAAATTTGGTTGTATTTTGAGTAATCTCACAATAAATGGAAATGAATCGTACTTGTACATGAAAAACCAAAAGATAAATTTTTGTTGAAAGAAGAAAAATAAGGAAATAATTAGGGCAAATACAATATATTAGCCATAACTATTAAGCAGCGGGGAATTATAGCCACAATTATCGAAATACAAATTATTAGCCAATCGTTAAGTTTTCGTTAACACTTCTGTTAGTAATGATGACTAAGCTTTTACGATGGTGAGCTGGCTCCCACGTGGCAGTCATCATATCATATTTTTTACGATGCTGACATGGCCTTCTACGTTAAAAATTTGAAAACATTACGGGCTGTTAGCCAAATCTTGACCCACAACAATAGTTATGGCTAATAATTTGTATTTCGATAGTTGTGGCTATAATTCCCCGCTACTTAATAGTTATGGATAATATATTGTATTTACCCAAATAATTACATTAAACTATATCAGGCTCATCAACTATGAAGGATTTTGAAGCCGTAAAAATATTATACCTGAGAGGTCGGTGATATGGTATTTTGTAATAAAATCATGGTTTAACGGTGGTTCAACTATTTCATATAATTAAAATTGCCTACTATTTTGGATTCGTCTTCGATATTTTTGGTTGGACCAGTCGGTACGATAGGATTATAAAAATTTGATATCAACTTAATTAGTATCACTTCTAGTGTGGAATTTGTATTTTCTTAACTCTTAAAGCATCCACATTGGAATTGTATTATGAATTGCATAATGACATGACATTAATTTGCAATTACATCATGCAATTGCACCGGTGTAGATGGCAATTGCATCTTTGCAAACTTGTATATAATGCAATTATGGATTGCAAGCCAAATCATTTTAATATTGAATTATTTACTATTTTAATGATTTAAGTGTTATGTTTCATAGTTTAATTTTAAAAATCAATTTCAATTGCAAGGTAAATACATTGATTTGGGTGCAATGACCAAACAAGTTTAATGACTACCAGCTTGATCCATCAATCACATTTGGACCATATGGTAAGTCAAATTCATGCAACAAGCATCCTCTTTGTCTGAATGTGAATGGTTTGAGTCACTTTGACTGAACATTTGCCCTGAATGTTATGAATCTAGAGGAGCCTAAGTCATATTATGAAGCAATCAAGTCAGAAGCTTGGAATAGAGCTGTGAATTCATAATTACATGCAATGGAAGAGAACCAAACATGGTATGTGGTACCTTTACCACCAAATGTAAAGGAGATAGGAAATAAGTGGGTGTTCAAGTATAAATTCAAACCAGATGGATCCTTGGAAAGAGAGAAGGCTAGGTTGGTGGCTAAAGGCTATACACAAGTGTATGGCATTGACTTTCTGGATACATACTCCCCAGTGGCTAAGATAAACGCTGTTAAAACTTAAAACTTTTCTGGGTAAATACAATATATTATCCATAACTATTAAGTAGGGGGAATTATAGCAACAACTATTGAAATACAAATTATTAGCCATAACTATTGTTGTGGGTCAGGATTTGGCTAACAGCCCGTTACTGCTTTCAAATTTTTAACGAAGAAGGCCATGTCAGCATCGTAAAAAATATGATATGATGACTGCCACGTGGGAGCCAGCTCACCATCGTAAAATCTTAGTCATCATTACTAACAGAAGTGTTAACGAAAACTTAACGATTGGCTAATAATTTGTATTTCGATAGTTGTGGCTATAATTCCCCGCTGCTTAATTATTATGGCTAATATATTGTATTTGCCCAACTTTTCTAGAAGTTGCAAGTATGAAATTCTGGAAAATGGAGCAACTGGATGTGTGAAATGCATTTTTGCATGGGGATTTGGAAGAGACAGTTTGCATGAAGATACCATTGGGATTACAAGTACAATCAGTGGGAGATCAGAAGATGACTTGCATGCTTAAGAAATTCCTTTATGGGTTGAAATAGGCTTCCAGACAGTGGTTTGCCAAGCTAACCAGTTTCTTATTGAAGATTGGCTTTTTCTCAATCAGCTTCAGATTAATCTTTGTTTACCAAATGGACACATGAGAGGATAACAGTCTTATTGGTTTATCTTGATGATATAATTGTTGGTGGGGATGAACAAAAGGACATTGATCAAATTAAGACTGCACCGGGTAAGGAGTTCAAAGTGAAGCTGCTAGGACGCCTCAAGTACTTCCTTGGTCTGGAGGTAAGCAGAGATCAAAATGGTCTGAAAGTATGTCAAAGGAAATATTGTGTTGATTTACTGAAGGATACTGGTTACTTGGAAGCCAAAGGATGTAAAACTCCTGTTGATGCTAAGGTGAAACTTAGTTCACAAGGAACACCAATGGAGGATGGTGAGGTCTATAGAAGGTTAGTTGGAAGACTCCATTATCTCACTATAACAAGACCTGATATTGATTTTAATAAAAAAATGCTAAACCAATTACCACTTTTCTCACCCCCACATTGTGACCAAAACCTCCCCTTCCCCCTCTTTTTCCTCTTTTCCCACCCACATTGTGGATGGTCTTAGGGATTGATTTCGAATTATTGGGGGTATTGCTGGCAGTGGCAATTCGCCCCCATTGGCCATTTTGCACCTGTTTCCGGTATCGATAATACCAATTAACCGACGGTTAATACCCGGAAAACTCACGGTATACCGACTACCCCATTCTCGCCTCCACCAATCGTGACAATCCGGTTAACGGTTTAACCGGTATTCATATTTACTTGTACGATTATTAGTTAAACCATTAACCGAATTACCGATTACCACTCCTAAACATTACAAACATGGTGGAAAAATGACAAACCAACAAATCTCAAAGCCATGCATCATAGTCACCTGATCCTAGCTCCCATAACGGCCTTTATAGTTTATAGCGTGAAAAGGGTCAGGTTTAGTGAAGCAGAACTGTCCTTCCAAACCTTTCGATATTGATATTCTAGGTAACAGCTGAGATACGGAACTCCCAAGTCAATTCCCCCATTGAAAGCCGTTGAAATCCTCTCAATAATGACCGCACTTACGATTGCAGCAATCTATTCCCAGATCCCAGTACAACTGCCTCCTTGCGATTTATACTTATGTAAACAAGAACAGAACTTGTCATCACAAATTTATGTGTCCTTAGTGCCTACGTACATAAAGTCCTGATCTTCAGTGATTTGCAGTTTCCCTTGTTCATAGCACAACAAGCGCCGAATGGGAGCTCCTCGTCTGGTTTGTGTCGACAGCTGACATCCTGTGCTCCAGAGCCCTACAGCATCACGACATGTTTGTGGACCCTAGGCCGAAGGGTTTGATTCACTTCCATTACAATGTCATCGCGTATAGGAAAGCGGATGATGGTGTAGCTTTGAAAATCCAAGCAGTATGACCTGCTTATCTAGCTAAAGCAGTCTTTAAGTTCTAGGCCAGCAAAACGCCTGATGAAGTATTGGCCAAAGGATTCTAGTTGGGGATGGTGTGTAATTTATAGCTTGAAATCACTAGTTGGAGGAAAAAGAGCTTACAACTTTCCAATATAGTTTCACCATTTGCAAACTGAATTCACTATGCTGTATCAGGGTTTTTCGAATCGATGAATCCGCGGGTATGACACACAATGAATAGGGTTTCTTTGTACACATGATACAAGATTACAAAGTACAAGAGTCTCACAACTAGGTAGGCAAAGGAAAACATATTCAACACCATTTAAATCAATAATGAGAACCAAAGGAGAACAAATCTATAGCTGCTTGCTTCACGATCATGATGATCTTTCAAAACCCCCACCAACCTGCATGTGTAGCCATTCCGCTTGTGGTCCTTGCACGTATTCCCTCGATGCTTGTTGTCCAAACATCATCCCAGGAGCATCAAATGGATGAGTGCAGAGCTACAGAAAGATAATAGGCGAGAAATATCAGCGAGTAAATGACCAAGAAGAATTTGTAGTCTCCGTTGAGGATCACGGGAATCAAATTCCAAGTTCTTGTTGCATGACTAGAAGCAGAAGCACACTAAACAGAGCCATAGTAAGTTTTTGAATTGTTTGTCGTTACGTAAATCTCAAACACCAGATCTGACATTCAGGGGAAAGAGTGCTGGTGTATATGCAGTTTTTCGTACATATTGATTGAACTTAGCATGGCAAACCAAATCAAGCAACAAGGCAAAATAAAGGCTCTACAAACATCAATTGAGGAACCATAACCGCTAAGAACTGTAAGAACACAGACAGTAACTAATATCTAATGCAAATATCTAAAGCTACATAGACTTACTACAAAGGGACGGGGACACTAAATCTTGGTGTCCTGTTTACTAATCTTGCCCTGCACTGCAAGCCTTCAACAGGGTGGGGATTGTTCAGGCTGGTCCAAGATCGGACCAAATCAACATAGAATGGGATTGAATATCAAGGAAACTGAGGGCCAGAGTCAGATTAAAAGTGCATTTGATCTGATACGGTCCTATCCTGTTCCAATTCGGTCAGCCTTTTTCTTTATTTCTCAGAAAATTAATGGAATCAAAACCAGAAAAGGCTACAAATGTGATAATTGAATTATACTTGGTTCAGTCCGGTTCGATTCAAACGTCAACGAGTTCAGAAATCATAGGTAACCCACTAGTGTATTCTCAACTCTACACATCAGAAGATACTAAAGAACCACAATTTTCAGAAGCAAATATTGAAATTGTTTGATCAACTGATGTTACAGCATTTTGTAAAAGTAGACTTACATCCTTAAGATGAAAACCTTCCATGGCTGAGTTCATGCCCATCCTCGTATTCACAGTTTCGAGCTTCATTGACAGGAACTACAAAATAAAATCCACAAAGGGACCAGGTTTCAGCTTGAACAGAGAGCTAGGACTATAAATATATGCTAAAATTTGCAGTAGTCAGGGTAGCAGAATCACGTAACAATACCTCAACCTGCCGTTGTAATGATTGAATATAATTTATGATCTCATCAAGTACCAGCGCCTTGCCAATTACCTGATAGAACAATTAAGTAGATTGTTGCCTAAGAAACGGGTTCAAGAAGTTCAGAAAAGAGTGGAAGTGTCACAGAAACAAAACAACAAGCTCGATAACATTTCTAGATGGACTAGAAAATTCTCTAGGTGTTGAAATGAACTCATTCCATATCGTTGTTAGGACTACTAAAATTGAAACCCTAGTCAAGTACCTTGTTACAACCAGGCACCAACTCCTGAAGTATCTTCATCCTCTCACTTATCTTTTCTCGCCTCGCCTGTCAGAACAAAGATACTGTAAGTAAACTGTTTTAACCATGACCGAAGCTCCTCAAATTTGAGCAAACCAAGAGAGTTCAGAGCAAGCGCATTACTCTTTCAGCAAGACTGTGGCTATCAGTGGCTTGGCCCCTTCTTGCTCTCACATGAATGAAATCTTGCCTAGGCGGCTCAGAGGGCTTGCTTTGATCAGCTGCCGTGTTATCGGCACTAGAATTTGGCTCAGCTCTTGAATTACCAGTTTCACTTCTGGACCCTGATGGCTTCATCCGTTTATTCTTGGAATCATCCTGGAAGAAGAAGTAGCACAGAGATAAGTCATCTGGCTGATTCAAAAAGAACAAAGTCGAGTGGCCAAAATTCATTGCAGCTTCAAGGCCAAAACCACAATCATGGGCAAGTCGGTTGAAGACAAACAAGTCATTGCTGTAATGCTGTTCCCCGTTCCATCTTGATTCCACATACAGCCAATAATTTTTCAAATCATTACATCACTTTTGATGAAAAGGGATAATATGAACAACTCGCTCAACATCAAATTTGATGGAGATGACTAAGGGAAACTCGACTTCCAAATCTTTTTAAACTTCCCACAAAAAAAAAAAAAAAAAAATTCAGCAGGGGAATTGGGTAAATTGTGAAAGAGATAAAGAAGACAGAGGGCGAGATTGGGAGGGGAATTCAGTAGCAGAACAGACCAATTCATTGCCACTGCTTGTTGTGGAAACTATTCTAGAAGACTCATCCTCGAAGCTGAAATCCCTCCGCTTCCTGGCATTTCCGGCCGCGCCACTATGGTCCGTCACCGTGGATTCCTCAGCAGACCCATCTCGCTGTCCGATACCAAACCCAATTGCAGCGGCCGTGGGTAAACTGCCCATACGGAGGCCCAACCCACCATCACCGGCTTCCACATTGATCCCCTGAAATGGCCAAATCTCCGCCAAGCTGTAGGAGGAAGGGTTGGCAGCGGAGAATGACGACTCGTTTATAAGCGGAGGATCCATAGTACCATTCCGGCGGGTTTCGTTAGTTAACTGAATTCCGGTAGCCGGGTGGGTAGAGCTGAGGGGAACCGGACGGTGGGAGAATTTGCAGAGGAAAGAAAGGAAGCACGAAAAGGAAAAAGATAGGAAACTTGTGCAGCTATTTGCTTGTTTTGGGTTGAAGAAAGACGGAGACTGAGGAGAGAGAGAGTGGGCAATGGGCAGTGAAGTGGAAGCTTTGATGGGTTATTTAACAAGTTCTGATTTCACTGAGGGCAGAGGGAGGCAAAGAGTGAAAGAGACGAGGTGGGCTGGTGGTCGCAGACGGCAGAATTGCAGAAGTGACAGACTGCTCCTCTTTTTCCACCCTTTTATTAGCCTTGAGAAACGGTGAAGTTGGTGCGCTCTGCGCTGACTGTGGCGCAAGTCATTCCCTGATTACATTAGCGATTAGCCTACTGTGGCTACTAGGGTGGGCGTTGGGTGGGTTGGGTGGATTTTGACCATAAAATGCACCCATCCGCGTTTAAACGGATTGATAATTTTTAACCCACCACCCACCCACATTTAGTCTCGGGTTGGGTCGGGCGGATGGTGGATGATGCGAGTGGATTTGTGGGTCACCCACATCACAATGTATATAATATAAAGGAGTCAACTTGACATGATAATAGGCGAAGAGAATCATCGAGGGAAACAAGAAGTTGAAATAGGACGAAAAATGTCGAATTAGTTCTTAAATTGGATAGAAATTCTATTATGAAAGAGTTTTCTACAGATTGAGACGATTATTAGGTGCAAGGAACTAAGGAAAATAATTCCACAAAGGAAAGAGCGGTGATCTAGGCACAAGAATTAGAGGAAAAAGTAAAGGGAAGAACAGGGGATCTCTATTTGGAAGGTTGGCTTTGAGGTTCAAACTCCAGGAGTAGTCCGAATTTATATCTAACGTCTCCCCTCTCCTCTCTCTAGCGCCAACGACTTTGATCTTTTTGCTGTTGGGTTGAGCGGGTCACCCGCACACTCACCCACAACCCACCCACCACCCGGCGGATGGCTCCCAGCGCAACCCGTCACCCACCCACAGACCCATCCACTTAACAAAATTCGGGTCAAATGCGGGTGGGTCGGCCCAAACCCGCGGATGATCCGCCCGCATGCCCAGCCCTAGTGGCTACTGTCTACCACGAATCCATGAAATCGTACCGTACCGGACTACCGACGATTCAACCACAAAATATCAGTGGCTAAATCAGTAGGCGATATTTAACGGTATTGACGGTTGAACTACGGTCAAAATAATGGTTTTGCCATAAAATATAGGAGTCCAGGATAAATACCTAGGCCTGCCTACTCTGGTGCAGCGCTCTAAGGTGGAGACATTTCGGTATCTGGAGGAGAGATTGTTGGCGAAGCTTCAGGGGTGGAAGCAGAGGCACTTATCGTGGGCAGCGAAGGAGGTCCTTCTTAAAGCGGTAGCTGCTGCGCTTCCAATTTATGTTATGTCATGTTTTCTCTTGCCAGTGACCTTATGTCGAAAGTTGGACAAGCATATGGCGCGCTTTTGGTGGGGATATTCGGTGGATAAGAAGAAGGCGCATTGGGTTTCCTGGCGGAACCTGTGTCGTAGTAAGTTCGATGGTGGCCTTGGATTTCGGCGCTTTGAGGACTTCAACCAAGCTTTATTGGCAAAGGTGGCATGGCGTGTTTGGCAGGAACCAAATACTCTACTGGCTCAGGTTTTGAAGGGGAAGTACTTTGCGAAGACTTCGATTTTACAGGCCAAGCGTGGGTCTAGGCCGTCATGGGGGTGGACTAGCGTTCTTCATGGCAGGGATTTATTGCAGTAAGGTTTAGTTTGGCAGATTGGTGACGGGAAAGAAGTTAGGGTGTTGGAAGATAATTGGATTCCTGGAGTGCGTCGCGAGGAGAGCTTTGTTCTTCCTTCAGCCCAGGTGGTGGCGGATACTCGGGTAGAATCGTTCTTGCTTCCTGGTTCGGGGAGCTGGTGTCTGGAGTGTTTGCAACATCGCTTCTCTGATTCGGTGGTGCAGTGCATTCGGGCGATCCCGTTGCCAGTCCGACAGGTACCCGATCGGTGTGTTTGGGCTTGGGAAGCAGATGGGGAGTATACTGTGAAGTCTGGTTACCATCTGGCCCTGCAGATTAGTCGTAGTTCCCCGGGGTGGAAGGAGGAGGTTTCTTTTTTTGATATGGGGTTTTGGAAGAAAGTGTGGAGTTTTCCATTGCCTCCGAAATTGAAATTCTTTGTCTGGCAGCTCCTTAGGCGCATTTTACTCACTGCAGAGGCGATCATTGAAAAGCAGGGACGAATGCCCATTGAGGTCCTCGACTCACCGGAAGATGAAGAGGCCATTTCTCCCGGCTGCCCAGTTTGTTGGGCACCGGTGGAGACCCTTGAGCATTTGTTTTTGTATTGTAGAGTTGCGACTGCACTTTGGAGTTGCTCGGGGGTGGCGGGTGTGGAAGGGATGGCGGAGGTGTCTAATTTTGCTTTGTTCTTCCGTCAGATGGTTGAGTAAGATGCTGGGGCGGAGAGGATTGTGCGCATGGTGGCCTTGCTGTGGAGAGTGTGGAAGAGCCGGAATTGGGTGGTTTTTGAGCATTTGCAGTATGATATTCCGTGCTTAGTCCGCCAGTACGAGGCTCAGGTGAAGGAATGGTTGGCGTTTATCCAGCCGGGGCAAGTCCAGACGATGCAGGCGCAGTATCGAGTGTTGGGAGGAGGTAGGGGGCAGGGTCAGTCGCAGCAGGTGGTGATGCCGTTTTCCTGTCATGTGGATGGGGCGGTTGCGCCGGGATCTCATGGTGCGGGGGGCTTGGTTGTCCGGGATGGTATGGGGCGGGTGTGTATGGTTAAGGGATTTCATTATGCAGGCATCGTTGATCCTTTCTTAGTGGAGTTGGTTGCATTTCGGGATGCAATCCAGTGGTGCTCAGGGAAGGGACTAGATGAAGTGTGGTTTTATGGAGATGCCAAGGGCGTTATTGAGAAGATTCAGCGCCAGGATGCTCGGGACTTGAAGGGTGGGCGAATTCTTGAGGAGATTGAAGGATTGCGGCGGCAGTATCGTGGTTTTGGTGTTTCGTTCGTTGGCAGGAGTGGCAATCGGGTGGCTCATGACGTAGCCAGGAAGACCCTTTCTTTGTTACCTGCTGTTGTTGCGAGTTTTGACTTTGATTGTTGGTTTCGTTTTGGGTTGTAGACTTGGTTTGTAAGACTTTGATATCTTTGATTTGGTAATGCCATTATCTATTGCTAAAAAAAAAAGATTGGATTTCAGCTTGATCGAATACCTATAGTTACTTCGTCTATAAATGCTCGAGTTATTCTGGATCGAGTGACATGGAATTCATTTTGAAATGAAATCTTTTTTTGTTTGGTATTTAAAAGAATTTATTTCCAATTCTAAATTTTGAATTCTACGAAATTGGAGTTAGTTATAGCAATTATGAGGAATTGAGATGAAATTTTCAAATGAATTCCACAAGAATTTACTAATTATAACAAAATTATATAATTATCCTCATTTATTAACTAAAGTAATTCTACATGTATTATTTGATGCTATTTCATGCAGTATGAGGAACGTCGACAAGAATTTGATTGCAGCGCTAGTAGCATATTCTAGTTATTTGATATTTATGCTTTGATTATATCAATATGTTGAGAAGCCACAACTAGAGTGTAGGGTTCATTGACAAAATATCGAAAGAACTAATGAATAGAATAGAAACACAAGAACACTTTGCTATTCTACGTATGGGACCAAAAGCATTTTTTAGAAGATGGATTTTCAATGAATATTGTTTCTAGCGAAAATTAATAAGGGCGTAGTTGGAAACTTTTAATTCAATTCAATTCAATTCATTTTATTTCTTAAGATTTGAATATGATATACCAAACACAAGAATTCATTTGACAATGAATTCTATACGATAATTCATTTTAAAAATAAAATGAATTCTAGATTTATTTGGTACCAAATAGTATGTAACTGATTATAAGTTAAGAGAGTTATGAGTTGTTAATTTCAAAATTAATCGAGTAGGATTACATTTTGTTTTTTTTTTACAATAAAGTAGGATTAATTTTTGATAGTTTTGGATAGGGTTTTGACCAGGCTGACTTCTAAGTGCTTTTAACAAATAGGATCAGTTTAAGTTGCGGTACTTATAGATCTAATTATCGTTCGTCTGAATATATCGAATAGAAGAGAAGTAATTTTATTATTATTATTGGGAGTCTTGTTTAGAAATTAATCTTTTGCAGTTAATAAATTCAATAATAATGGGATCACTTCACATGTCCCGTAGACACATTAAGTATCCCAAGCTGACAGTTTACAACCCTTACGCGAATTTCCTTTCACCTTTTGTTTTGCCTGCATAAACCGAAAGGGAAAAGAAGAGAAACATTCTAAAAAAAAAAAAGAGAAACAAATGAGAAATATCATAATCGATTCCAAAAATTCGAAAGACCATCTCACCAAAATTTTTTTACGAAATACCTCCAATCTCATTTGATTGATGATACAAATTAGGATGTCATTTTGTACCCTATTTTTTACCAAAACAAAATGAGAAGTGTGAACTAATTGACAACTATCTTCAATGTATTTGATACTATACTATATCTTCCCATTGCACTAGTTAAACCGCGTATTAGTGACCATAAACATGATCTTATTAAAATCGCTATTTCGTTATAACCCTTTTTTGATAAATTAATCTCTCCGATTCAATCTATCATATTACCCACATAATTAATTTCACACCAAACCATGCCAACTGCACCAACAATTAGCTAAAAATGTCATTCGCCACTCATTCACTATGGCCACTTAATTATCTAACCAATGATTAGGGAAGACAGGTACCCGATTTGGCACTAAATTATCAAACAACTAGATTTGGATTGGAAATGTTAAAAAGGCTTAATTTTCAGACGAAACTTCAGTCAAAGCACTACGCATAAGCTAGCATTATACTATATTCTATTCTCCCAATTTCTTGGATTCATAGTGTCAACACACAAAGCAAAAAGCACCATTAGGTGCTAATCATTTCAAACCTTAAAAATCTTTGTATAGGTTTTGAACTTTGAACTAAAAACCATTCAAATTATGGGATGTGAATTTAAGTAGAAATAGTAGCTAGTAGTTGTCAGAGGCTAGCTGTCGACTGGAAACTAATCCCACTTTGCCTAACCTCTCTTTCTTCCTATATTCATTAAATTGCTGCTTTGAAAATGGACTGTAAAAGGAACAGATATGTGCTCAAAACAATGAATTATAACAACACACTCTGCGGAAAGTCAAGTAATTGCCGGCTTGGCAATTTGCCTAACATGCCCAGAAACGAACACTAATCCAAGGAAAGTGCAATTAATCACCGGAAAGCCTCTTTTGTGGGTTT